GTATTCAGGGTTTAGGATTTAGGGGTTTAGGGGTTTTGGGTTTTGGGCTTAGGCCTCTTCGACAGGATAAGTCCCTCGACTGGAGCTTAAGGTTTAGGCTTAACCTTACAGCTTGAAGCCGTCTAGACTTGCATCAAACCCTTTAAGGCCCTGTAAAACCATGTAACGCCCACATAAAGCAAGCCCTAAAAAAAAGAACAGTATGCAACCCTGTGAAAACATTGAAAAGGCATTGATGGCAGGGGGGCAGGGGGGGGTTCATCCGCTCCCTCTCACACACCTTCAGCCAGAAGTCAGGGGGGGGTCCTTCGGTTCAGGGGTTTGGGGCTTCGTATTTATAGGGCTTAGTGGTTAAGGTTTAAGGGTGGGTGATGTAGGTTTCGGGTTTAAGGTTTGGGGGTTTAGGCCCCTGAGACTCCACAGCCTCTTCATCAAGAAATCTGCCTCAAGTTTTAGAGGAATCCTTACTATGATTCAAGGTAGATTCCGTCTTCTGAGAATATGCCCCGAGTTATGGAGGGATTCGCAAGATTATTGAAAATCCATTCCTTGACTACGGCGGTTATGGGAGCCTCTGATCCCTCTCTGGGCAGAGCTGAGGTCGTTTGAATCATTCTTGTCAGCCGAACGTGGAGCCTGTTCTGCATCCAAGTTAGCCAATCTTGGCTGGGGGGGGGCCTTTGGAGGGCACTTGGGGTCTCGGACATAGTGGTGGAGCGGTTTAGGGCCAGTTAAGGGTTTTGGGTTTGGGAAGGCACGGAGGCCGGACGAAAGGCGCGAAAGCTGAGAGAAGAAGCACAGGCACTTGGGGGTTTCTACACTGTAATTCTATGACTTAGGGGCGGAGTAGGTAACCTTTAACCTTTTGGGGCTTATATAATCCTACTCTAACTCAAAAGGTTAACCTTTTTTGGGGTAAGGTACTCAGCCCCTAAGATGAATGTTTTATACGGGTTAGCATTACTAACTTCTAGTCAGGCCTCTGTGCCGCTGCAAGCAAGTATTATGAAGGCTTCGTAAGGAATAGCAAAACTGATCCTGATAGTCTCCCATGGCACGTTTGAGGTTTAGGTGCTTCGGGCGCCATTCTTCTGTAAGGGGCTCGAGGTTGTAGTGGTTCGGCTTGGAGGTTAGCGTCTCAGAAGTCAGCGAGTTTGTAGGTCCAGGGCTTAGGGCATTTAGTATCTATAGGGTGTCCCGTACGGAATGTGTTGTTCAATGAGAGGGAATCACCAAAAGTTTGATCCCTTTTTTGCGTCCATACTCTGTTGCGGATCCAACAACAAGCGGACCTTGGTCTTAGGAACTACAACTACCCAGAGACTCCAATACCCCTTAATTAAGGAATATACCTTAAATTATAGTAGGATCCCTAATAGGGTTTAAGGTATATTGCTTAATTAAGGGGTATTGGAGTCTCTGAGTAGCTTCATGAACTGGCTGCGCTAGCTCGACGGTGAAGACGGCCACTAGACCCCACACGTCCCCTCGAACAGCAACTCCGTGCTGTTACGTCTTCAACTCTCTGCAGAATCTGGGCAGTTTCAAAAAGTAGGGGACGGCAACCAAGTGCTTGAGTGATATGATATGACCACGATAAGTTTCTCCTCACAAGGACCCCCGCAAAAGGGAACTCCATTTTGTCAGAAAGTCCCACTTGAGGAGTTTAACCTCACCTGGGATAATTCGCGTGGGAACGTGGTGTGCCTCGGCGGGATGTGGCGGGATCCAAAGACATCTAGCAGGATGCATTGCCTGCAAAGGGCTTCGGTGTCCAGGTTTTGGGATCTCCATTTGATGATTCCGCTTCTGTCTTCGGTCGAGTGTTCCACAGGAACACAAGTCAAGCGAAAAGCCCAGACACGAAGGAACCCCTAAGCCTAAGGTTCGCATCGTCCTTTGGATGAGAGTTGAGGTTGTTTCACAGTTGAAGGCCGAAAGGGCCAGTGCCTGCTTGACAGAGGGGGTGTATTTCAATTTAAAAAAACCCGAGACACAGCCCGAAACCCTGAAGCCTAAATCCTGAATCCTAAACAAAGCAGAGAACTTGCCAGGAACACCATCACTGCCATCTGTGACATCTCCGAGGGTGAGGAGACGCGGTTTTGTGAACGCGCAGCTACGATAGGCGCCTTCGTAATTCGAATAGCGTTTTGCAGGCTTAGGAACGAAGAAGACGAACAAGAAGAAGGAGCCGTATGGAGTGCTACCAGTACTTATTCAGGGCCTATGAGGTGGTTTGGGCTTAGGGTCTAGATTTCGGGATTATGGTTCGGGAAGTTCTCAGAATCCCCAAGAGGCAAGTTTCCAAGCAAATCATAATTCACCGTGAGACGGTAGTCCACACTTCTCTGGACCTCTGAAGTCAAGAGAAGCGAAATTTCGGGTACAGGGCTTTGGAGTACCATACCGTAATACTTTTTTGGGACCTGTTCCTTAAAGGAACCATCATGAAATAAAAGTCTATACTTTTTTCTCCCAGGTTACTTCAAAGCCCAGGGTATGTTTCGGCAATTCTTTGCGGTTGCGCAAGGAGCTCAATATCTCGTACCTTCCCCTCCGGCTGTGCCTTGACGTGGAGGCGCGTTGATCGGATTTAGGGCGGGGCAAGCAAAGGAATAAAAGGGCCCTGGCTGCGATGAGACTCGCAGCAGGTGCGTGTTTTGCAGTATGGGAGCCTGGATAGTCACCAAGCGTGTTCCTTGTGGCTCCTTATTAATAGGCTTTAGTATCAAGTGTTGTACAACCTGGTTTTACCCCAAAATCCGATTAAGATGGTAAGGCCCGTATAAATATACCCGCAACATCCGGTCAAGATATTATGGCCAATCTGCTGGGCAGTGGACGGCTGCCCGGCCGGGGTGTTGGCAAACAGCTGAACAAGTCCATCCCTGCAAATGGCCCGAAGATGACAAGGAACTCGTAGAGTTTAGGGTTTAGGGGTGAGTAGGTAACATTTAACCTTTTGGGGCTTATATAGTCCTACTATAACTCAAAAGGTTAACCTTTCTGGGGGTAAGGTATTCAGCCCCTAAGTATCTGTGACGTTATCGACAACGTACCCGCTTGGAGGAACGGCGACGACAGCTCCTGGAGCATTGGGCAGCGCGGACAGCACGTGAGAACTGCATGGCCGGCAATCTACTAGGTTACGAGGTAGGCCTTTAGGATACTGTATGTCTTCTCTTATTGGGCTCAGAACAGCCGTAGGTGTTCCTGGGCTTTGAAGTAACCAGGCTTAAGAGGTCCTTATGTACGAATTTCGGCCTCGCGGCATCCAAAAGTTGTGTCAGGAGTTTGTGTGCCGCTGCCCTCGCTGCGAGGCTGAGGTGGGTGGTCATTCTTCCCATGTTTAAGGGTCCAACACCGGGTTCGGACTGTACTTAAAGGATCGTGGGACTTAGTAAGTAGGGTTATAATTAGGGTAACTATACTTATAATCCCAATTAAGGGACTTATAACCCTACTTACTAAGTCCCATGATCCTCCAAGTATCAGGGAAGTGGAAGGGGTTGAACAGAGGAGTCGATGGCTTAGGGATGCTTAAGGGATTCTAGCACAGGGTGATTGCTAGCTAGGCTCAAAGGTTCAAAACCTAAGCTGCTTCCACTAGAATATGCACCAAAACCCCTAAACCCTAAAACCCCTAAAACCCTAAAACCCCTCTAAAACCCTTAAACCCAAAGCCCTAAGCCCCTAAACGTAGAAGAGCCTGGCCACGACCCTGTTCAGGGTGGTCCGCCGAAGCCGACAGAGCCCAGGTGCGAAGCGGTCAACTTGGGGCTTCGGGGCTCGGGGCTTTGGGGCCTAGTCTACCAGGACTTCTGGGGTTCTATGTCAGGGTTTAGGGTTTAGGGTCTAGGGTTTAGGGTTTAGGCTTTAGGGCTTAGGGTTTCGGGGTGTGTTTTTGTTAAGGATTCGGTTTCATAGGGTCCCTTGGGCCGGTGCATCGCCGGAATAGTGTGTCATTGTCACAGCAAACCTCAAAACCCTCGTCTAATCATCAAGGCCCCCATACCTGAAGCCTTATACTTCCCCTTATCGACTCCCTTCTCGGTTTAGGGTTTAGGGTTTAGGGAGCCCTCTTAAGGTTCTTAGAATGCCCCCCCCCCGCCCGGAAGGTTTCCCAGTCCAGCTGAGGAAGTGCTGCCATGGTCCTAATACTTGGAGGATCATGGGACTTAGTAAGTAGGGTTATAAGTCCCATAATTGGGGGTATAAGTATAGTTACCCTAATTATAACCCTACTTACTAAGTCCCATGATCCTTTAAGTAGGAGCCTCAACACTTTCCCATAATATTTTAGGGGTTCCATAGAATAAACAGAGTATAATCCTAGTATAGGAGCCGAAACAATTTCCAATATTATTTTAGGGGCTCGTATTATAAGTAGAGTCTAATGGGCCCCAAAACCCTATTCTAATTATTACGGCCCCTATATTACACGTGACTCCTCAAACAGAGCCGGGGAGGAGAATGTTTGCCAGACTGGAAGCCCCCAAAAAAGGCCACAAGTCAAAATGAGAAGCCCTAAACGATGTCGCGAATGAAGAAGTATAGTATAACGCACGCACTTTACATCCTATGAACGAGCGGCTTCAGACAACGAAAGCAAGCAGCTTTTCTTGCCCGGAGGCCGGCCCGTGTCCCACTCGTGGCCCACACAGACCAGGCACTGAGTTTTAGGGAGAACCCTGTAGTTTGCCAGAGTTTTGTCGTTGTGCATGGTGTATGGGCCGAAGGGTCCAGCTACAGGACGTGCTGCCATTGAGCCACCGTACACTCGTAGGTTGTGATCCCATACATAAAAGGTATAACTTATATAACCCTTATGGCAGTACGCTTTCTGGCTGCCTAAGCCCTAAACCCTAAACCTCCTCCTGACGAGGCTTACAGTCTGGGTTGTCCGCGCCAGTATGTCTTCCACAGCCCCCAATGCCCAAACCCCTGAAACCCTAGAGCCCTAATATCGGGGCCTTAATAGTTACCTATACTATTTTGGGGGCTAGTGGGCCGCAAAACCCTATTCTAATTACTAAGGCCCTTATATTAGGCCATCCTCAACCCGAAAAAACAGAAACCTAAACCCTAAACAGGGGCATCATGCATCATGTAGGGTTTAGGGTTTAGGGGGAGCCCAGAGACTCCAATACCCCTTAATTAAGGAATATACCTTAAATTATTCTAGGATCCCTAATAAGGCTTAAGGTATATTCCTTAATTAAGGGGTATTGGAGTCTCTGGGAGCATCACCAAGGCTCAAACCTGCATTTGCAGCTCTTTCACCGGCTTTTGCCCCCCCCCCTCTGGCACCTTCGCAGAGGCTTGAACCAGAAGTCCTGAAACCACCAAAAAAACATCCACAAAGAAGCCGTGGCTTCAGGTTTAGGGTTTATGGGAAAGGCGACTTTCAACCCACAAAGCCACAAATACGCTTAAAACTTGGCCCCCCCCCCAAAGACCCAAAGCAACAAGATCCTCAGTTACGCGCCACAAGAGGCTCCCAAAGTGGATGGCGACTCCTCTTCCGAGGGCATCGGCTTCGACGACTTGCGATGCCCGAGTTGCAAGATGTGAGGGTCGAGATTGGCCTGTTAAGGGTTTAGGGCGCTCGGGGTCTAACCTATAGGGTTCGCGGTTTAGACTTCAGGGTTAGGGCAGCAGTGGCATTCTTCTGTAGGCTTCCCTTGTCGCTTTCATACGCGAGTTCGGTTTGTAATTTGTGGCTCACCTCTTCTTGGGGGAGCCGTGGGTGAGGGGTTTGCTTGGCCACGGGTTGTGCATTTGGGGAGGGGGGGCCAGGCCGGAAGCCCAATCCATCGAAACTTTCAGGTTTAGGGCTTTAGGGTTTAGGGTTCAGGGTTTTAGGATTTAGGGTTCTAGGGTTTAGGGTTTAGGGTTTTAGGGTTTAGGGTTCAGGGTAGTTCGCGACCATTGTCTGCCCTCTTCTGCCAAAGCACCGCAGCGCAAAATACAACACCAACCCGAAGCTGCAACAAGCAGCACTTGGAGGATCATGGGACTTAGTAAGTAAGGTTATAAGTCCCTTAATTGGGGTTATAAGTATAGTTACCCTAATTATAGCCCTACTTACTAAGTCCCATGATCCTTTAAGCAGGGTCTGATAAAGAGAGAACTCTCAGCCCCCAGAAGCCCAAGAGCCTTCGAGCTCTAGACTTTCAAGCCTAATAGAGGGGCCTACTTTTCTATAGTTACAGTATCATGGGCCCCAAAACCCTGTTCTAATCATTAAGGCCCCTACGTTACACCCCCAAACCCTGAAGCCTGAAACCCTCAGCCCTGAACCACCCCCCTGAATCTCTGAAGCCGAAGAGAATTTTAGAACAACAAGCAACTCACAGAAACAAAGTTACTATAGGGGCCTTAACAATTACGAATACTGTTTTGGGGGGTTCCTTATCATAATTAATAGTATACTGGGCCCCAAAAAGCCTTATTCTTATCATTAAGGCCCCTACATTACAAGCCATAAGGGTTCAGGTTCAGTCCCCGGGGCTCCAAAGTGCTCAACCCTAGACTTCTAAGCACTGAGCCCTAAAGCCTAATCCCGAAAGCCCTAAACCCCCTAAACCCTACAACTCGAATGCTCTTAACTGCTAGAGCCCCAGAGCCCTAGACCCCCAACCCTAAAGCCTGAAGCCCCAAAAGCAAGAAAGCACTAAGCCCTAGTCAAATGGGAGTTTCCGAAAACAAGGGGTACCTTATTTGGGGGTCCTTATAATAGGGATCCGACTATTTAGGGTACTGTATTAGGGTCCCCTATTTTCAGAAACCCCCAAATTGGCGAGCTGAGGAGATCCGGACGATGAGTGACCGCTGCTCACTTGCCGGGCTTGCGTGTGGAAATGCGTCGCCGTGGTGAGTTTCGAGCTGATTGTGAAGTTCTATAGAGTTGAAGCCTGAACGGAGAAGACTTCCAGTAGATCCTTCCTCCAAACCCTATTCTGACTACTACGGCCGCTATAGTAGGGCTTATCATAGGCGGTGAGACGGCCTCGGGGTTAAGGGTTTAGGGGAGATGGTAGGGTTTAGGGTTTGGGGTTTAGGGTTTAAGGTTTAGGGTCTAGGGGTTTAGGGTTTAGGGTTTGAAACCATGAGTGCTTTGACGTCTTCCAGCTTGGGACCTGTATGGCCGTGCTCGGAACCTCTGAAATCAACGCCGGCTGTTGCCCTAAAACCCTTGTAGAACTTTTTGTAGTACCTTGTGGAACTCTTGTGATACCCTCAAGAAGGACCCGTAAGTGAACCCTTCGTCGCCCAGGGTGGCAAGTGGCCTTTGTGGCTTTCACCACGACAGCCCCTCGTTTGCCTCAGATTCCAAGGTTTCGGGGATTGTGGCAGTTTGGTAATATGGGAGTTTCCGAAAATAGGGGACCCTAATATAGTACCCTAAATAATAGGATCCTTATTATAAGGACCCCCAAAATAAGGTACCCTAATTTTTGGAAACTCCCATATAGAAGCCTAAGTATGTAGAATTGGCATTCCTGGAAAGGAGGTTCCTTATCATACTTGTGCTATAATATCGCACCCTTTGTAACGATTACGGCCCTTATCCTAGATGAATTAGGTGTGTCGTGCACTGTCGCCTTGGTTATGTTAACGTCGGTGTAGGCGGAGGACTTCGAAGTGTCTAGGCCTAAACCCCTAAAACCCCTAAATGTTCAGGGTTCAGGGCTGAGGGTTTCAGGAAGCCGCTGTCGCTCCTTGCAGCCTTGTTGCTCGAAGGACTCCACGGAATAGGTGGGGTCGTGCCAATGCCAGTCCTGATATAAGTTTAGGACTTACAGGGTTTAGGACTTTAGGGTTTGGGGGGTTTAGGGGAGGAGCTGCTGAGTCTGAAGCGACCGAGGTGCATGGTCGTGCCTGTATCCGACGATGCGTTCGAGCTGCTTGGATCCACCCGTTTAGTACGCACTTGGGTCCAGGCTTTAGGGCTTAAGATTTAAGGTTTTAGGATTTCGGGCTTCGCATTTAGGGTCGTGGGTCAAGGAGGGACACTAAGAGGCACACCCTGGACCATGTGAACCGCTACTGTTAGAACTACTACTACCACTGCTGCTGCTGCTCCTCCTCCTCCTCCCCCCTCCCCTCCCTGCTCTGGTATGGCGAATATCACCACCACCATCATTCACTCACCACCAGTACCACTGGCGTGCGCACTGTTCACCCCCTACCCTAAACCCTCACCTAAGCCCTAAATCCTAAACCGGTCTCACAGTTAGCTGGTGGGAGACGAAAGGAGACAGAATCCCTGTAGCTGATTCCTGATATGATCTTCTACACTTCTACTCCCACTAAAACATCCGAAAACCTAAATTCAACCCTAAACGCTCCCAGGGTTCAGGATTCGTGACTGTGACACCTCTCTGTCGGACCCGGTTCCGAGGTATGCCAAGTACGTCAAGGAGACTTTACACTCCCGGGGCTTCCATGCCAGGGGCTGAGACCCCCTACTTGGAGGATCATGGGACTTAGTAAGTAAGGTTATAGATTATAGGTCCCCTAATTGGGGTTACAAGTATAGTTACCAAAATTATAACCCTACTTACTAAGTCCCGCCTGGATAAGTCTAAGGTTAGAAGTACGGGCCCCCAATATGGAGCCTTAGGCTTCTCTGGGGACCCTGAAGGGTACATATTAGGGTATAGAGTAGGTGTATAAGGATCCCAGGGTTAAGGGCCCATGCTAGGGGCCCATGGTTTCAACCTTGGAAGAAGGGTTCAGGTTGCTTTGGTTGATTTCAGGGTTGTGGATTTTCCGGATCTGCGGGCAGCAATCAAGGATTTCGGTGGACAAATCACAACAGCCGCGGCTCTCTGGTTTGGTGGTTGTCTCGACAAATGAGCATGGAATCCGGTTCAGGGTTTATGGTTTAGGGTTCAGGGTTGAGGGTTGAGGAAGGATACAAGTCGCAGCACAATCTGCTGCACCTCTGCCCCAGCTTGGACCCTTTTGCAGAAGTCAGGAGCCCGAACCCACACCCTCGTCCCGGAACATAATGTGGGGGCCGTTATAATTACCTACACTAGTTTGGGGCGTTCCTTGTTATAATTATACTATACAGGACGCCCAACGCCCTATTCTAATTATTATGGCCCCTACATTAGACCCGTACTTGACCTGACCGTTCAAGAGAAGCTTGACCGCTGGAATCTGACGCTGAGGTTGAAGTCAACTTGGGCGCCGGGCTGAGCATTCTTTCGTCTGTCAGGGTGTAGTTTGAACTTGGACTTGCTATTCAGTAGCACATGGCCTTGCGCAAAAGCGAGCATGAAGGAAGTCTTTTCGCTGCTCGAGAGAGAGCACCATCTGCCGCAGGGTTCTCTAAGGCATGTTCCTTCGATGTCGGACAGACAAACGATGGTGGATATACCCAGAGAGCCCGATACCCCTTAGTTCAGGAATGTGTACTTGGAGGTTATAAGGACCCCAAAATAAGGTACCCCTAATTTTCGGAAAGTCCCATGTCCCCGTCCGTTGCAGGTGATGGCACGCTGAACAAGAAGGTGCGCGAGGCGCAGGCCGCGTGAGGGGCGGAGAGAGCGCTCTTCAAACCCGATCGGCAGGCTTCCATAGCCAACGAGATGCGCGTAAAGGGCTTAGGATTTAGGGTTCAGGGATGTGTAGGCTATAGATGGCTATAGTATAGTATTGGGTTTAGGGTTTAGCGTTCAGGTCAGGGCATAGCATATAAGGTATAGGGTTTAGAGTTTCCAGAAACAGCACGCTCAAAAACCCAAAAGACTGGTACGGCTCACTTCCAAGGCGACAGGGAGTTGAAACCCAAGCATACACCCTGGACACCCGCATGTCTGAACCCTGGTCAAAAATAGGGGCCTTAATAATTAGAATAGGGTTTGGGGGTATATGATATTATAATTATAGCAAGGAGCCCCCAAGACCCTATTCGAATTATCAAGGCCCCTGCATTCGGGCAGTAATTCGGGCTCCAGAAGGGTTTTGGGGTTTGGGGTCTCAGGGGCCTAGGGGTTTGGAGTCTACATTTACATTGCTACGACTTTGTCCCCCGAGCCTCACTCCAGGAGCACTTGGAGGATCATGGGACTTAGTAAGTAAGGTTATAAGTCCCCTAATTGGGGTTATAAGTATAGTTACCAAAATTATAACCCTACTTACTACGTCCCATGATCCTCTAAGTAGCAGTACGCACTAAGCTGTGGCACTTCTGGGATGCGGATCATGAGCCTGACATCCTTGTTTTGGAGTTGCGCGGGACGGCTTCAATTTATAGAAGTCCCGGGCTTCGACGGGAAAATCGATGCGCTAAACTCGCCGCGTTTCGTGTAGGTTTGGGTGCATTGGACATTGCGCTGGAAGAAATCGGGAGAGGTCGTTAGGGAACCGATTGAGATGGTACGGTACAGAAAACCTTCTGTTTTTTCCACAGCGGGAATAATGGCTCATCATCCCCTAGCAGAACATCAACCTTAGCCTTGCAACACATTTATTCAGGCCTCTACATTAGCATAAATGCCATAAAGTTGAAAGGTGGATGAAGGATGACTGTTGCTTGGGTTCTTACACTTTAAGCGCATCATGACAGTGATCCAACTTCTTCTCTTCTGGCTTCTAGTATAGGAGCTCGGAGGACATTCGTCAGAAAACCCCTTGATAACCACCGCAAAACTACTCTGATGTTTAACTTAGATGAACCTCCAACACCCCCACAGCCCTGAATCGTAAACCCTACACCCTGAATCCTAAACCCTAAACCCTAAACCCTAAACCCTAAACCCTGAACCCTAAAAACCCTAAACCCTAAAAGCCCTAAAGCCCTTGGCCAAGGTCTGAGCATCTCTCGATCTCCTTCTC